TTTACACCAATATTCGAAAATAAGCGTCTATCTGCCACGATCAGACGAAATGCATAAGCATATTTGTCCTACACATGCATACTTACATATATGTTCAATAAATATAAGTGTAAATATGTATGTACATATGTACACACTGCACCCTGAACGCTTCTAATCGTCACAGATCGCACCAGTCAGATATCGGATGGCTGAATGAATTCGAAGTTCTTAACCGCAAGCAGCCGCTTCCGAGCTGCAGTCAACTGACAGGCAACGGTTCCAGAACCACATCTACGAATATGCACATATACATACATGTATGCACTTTGTGAGTACGAAGGCTGCGTATTATTGACAGTGACTCGTCAATTTTCTTGCATTTGCYTGCTGACAACAACAACAAACTGAACCAACATCGAGCGCGAAAATTGCCAACCGATCTGATTCGGAGCGTTACGATGCCCCGATGCCCAAAAACAGACACATTCACCCATATGCGTGTACGTGCATATTTGAATTTGTGCACATATTTGCTTAGAGTGCATCTGCACTTCCCCGCCGTCACGAAAGAGTACGGCTCTATTTTCATAAGACAGCTAAGTAAACCACTCAAGTAGGACATCAGCGTCATCTCAGCGCTTAGTTGCCACGGTGTATTGAATTCATTTCGTATTATTTAAGTTTTGTTGGCGTTTTTGTGTTTTTTTAATGACAGCCGCTGCGTCGGACGTGTCATCGTTGGCGCCAGTCACCAAATCAGCCGACGGACTGGGAGCCAGCACCTACACGTTGGCAGCACCACAATTATCAGGCACTCCGTCAATAGCCACAATCGGCGATAAGAACCGCATCTGGGCAGTGTGAAGCGCCTATTCTTCTTTTGGGCCAGAGTTCGGTAAGACTTCGTGAAAGGAACATTTGCTTATGGTCGACATCATGTGGATGCTCGCATTAATGTATGCAGTGTGTGTATGTAAATATGTTTGTGTGTATGTACATAGACGTAATATTTTCGAGTGTGGGGTAGCGCCTCTTCTTTTGTTATTGTTTACACAGAAATGGATATTTTATTTCCAAACAAAACAATACAAAATGGCAAATTACTTAGTTAATGTCTTCCAGAGTAGATCTATATGATTTTTTCGACACATGCTCGTAAGCTGAAACCGATTTTATGTAAACAGTTATGCATATGTACATATGTGACTTATAAAGGAAAACAAATGCTAATCGTACGCAATCGAAATCTTAAATGAAAAATGAGATTCTCTTCGATGTTAGGCGAAACTTTATAGCAGAGACCGGAACTTAGTAATACCTTTTTATAATCTATATTTTTGCATTTGTGATACTGTGATATATCACTGGGGCAATTTAAAGTTAGTTACTATGAACTAGCGAGCCAGGACAGCTATGATAGTACCTGTGAAAATTAGTTAATAGGCGGCTTAGAAAAGAAATGAAGGAAGTGTTAAGTTCGAGTGTAATCGAACATTTTATATTCTCGCAGTTTGCAAGGATCTAAGCGGACAAATACTTTCCGGTCTTATCAAAACTTTATATTAAAATTTTTTTCTAACGTATTCATTTGATTTATTCGAAGGAATTACTTACTTTAATCTCATTACTACTTTTCGTAATGCCGAAAAAGTCAAATCGCGTCATATTCAACACTATACCGCAATACTTTAAAGAAGTTTATATAATTGTATTCAAATGTCACAAACATATTTTAGGAATAAAATTATATTATGCATATCCAATATTATATGTTGACCTAATTTAGCTAAGACAAGTTACTTATTGGCCGATATATTGGCTATCAATTGGAAGTTTTAAATTCGTATTTTAGACAGATAAATTCTAGGTTTATTATTGCCGCGTTTTATCCAGTCTAGACATGAGGCAAAGCAAGAATGAAGACATGTTATTCTATATCTTCCTCTGCTTCCATAATAAAAATTAAATACGCGAATGAAACAAAAAAACTAGATCTCTGTCTGGCAGCTCTGGACAAATATGCAATATGCACATTTAGAGCTCTAGGTTTGTCACACCAACCTTGAGACAAAGTGGACAACCGGATCCGATCATGCATAAAAGACCACTGACGCTAGGGTAAACAAGAAGCAACTAATTTATCTTCTTAAAAAGATTGGTATTCTGTTCCATGAATAACCAAATAGCTTTCCTATTTTGGTTTACTATCCTACCTTCCCAATTCATTTGTGGTCTTAGTTCTTTTGACACCTTAGCATCACGGAACTTAAAACTATATATCCATAACTTTTCCAAAGAACCTTGATTTAATAGGTGCCTTAAAAATATTAACTGTATTGTAATATAATATTTAGGGATAAAATTAAGTAATAGACTGAACTACTTCCGTAGGCAAAGGAACCGATATAACCAACACTATAATCACCAAAACCTTAAGTTCTTAATCTGCATCAAATCAAAAGACCTCCCTCCTCTCCACTTGGTCCTTCCAACAGAGTGGAGGTCTTCCTCTTCCTCTGCTTCCCCGAAGGGTACTGCGTCGAATACCTTCAGAGCTGGAATGTTTTCGTCCATTCGGGCAACATGACCTCATATCTCATACAGCTCATCGTTCCACCGAATTCGATATTCGCCGAGGCCAACGTGCAAAGGACCATAAATCTTTCGCAGAACTTTTCTCTCGAAAACTCGCAACGTCGACTCATCGTTGTTGTCATCGTCCAAGCCTCTGCACCATATTGCAGGACGGGAATTATGAGTGACTTATAGATTTTGGTTTTTGTTTGTGGAGAGAGAACTTTGCTTCTTAATTGCCAATCCAGGCTGACATTGTTGGTGGTGTTTACGCTGATTCCAAGATGAACGAAATTATCTACGACTTCAAAGTTATGACTGTCAACAGTGACGTGAGATCTAGTCGCGAGTGCAACGATTGTTTGTTTGATGACAGGAGATATTTCGTCTTGCCCTCGTTCACTGCCAGACCCATCTGCTTAGCTTAGTTGTCCAGTCTGGAGAAGGCAGAAATAACAGCGCTATTGTTGAGGCCGATGAAATTGATACGATGATATGTGTACAGCAGCTGTACACTCTTATAGAAGATGGTACCTTCTCTATTTAGTTCTGCAGCTTCAACTATTTTCGCCAGAAGCAGGTTGAAGAAGTCGCACGATAGGGTATCGTCTTGTCTGAAACCTCGTTTGTTATTGAACGGCTCGGAGAGGTCCTTCCCGATCCTCATGGAGCTTTTGGTCTTGCTCAACGTCAGTTTACACAGCGGAATTAGTTTTGCGAGGATACCAAATTCAGACATCGCGGCATAAAGGCAGTTCCTTTTCGAGCTGTCGAAAGCAGCTTCGAAATCGACGAAGAGGGTGGTGTATATCTGGTCGGTTGTAGATTTGCCAGGTCTAAAGCCACGCAAAGGGAGGATGAATTTGATGATAAGGTCCAATCAGTTTGTTGACGGTGGGGTTAAATATTTCACCCAATACGCTCGATAGAAGCTTATATGCGATGTTGCGGAGACTTATCCCACGGTAGTTGGCGCCGATTGTGGGGTCTCCTTTTTTATGGATTAGGCAGAGCACACTTAAATTCCAATCGTAGGGCATGCTTTCGTCCGACCATATTTTACAAAGAATCTGATGCAGTTCCTTACCAGTCCTTTTGCCGCCGGCCYCCGCCGCTCTGCTGTTCTTCAGGAGGGTAATTGCTATTTAAACTTCTTCCTGGTCGGGCAATGGAACGTCTGCTCCATCGTCATCGATTGGGGAATCGGGTTCGTCTTCTCCTGGGGTTGTGCGTTCGCTGCATTCAGCAGGCTGGAGAAGTGTTCCCTCCATAATTTAAGTATGCTCTGGGCATCGGTGACTAGATCACCTTTGGGGGTTCTACAAGAGTATGCTCCGGTCTTGAAACCTTCTGTAAGCCGCCGCATTTTTTCGTAAAACTTTCGAGTATTACCCCTGTCGGCAAATGCGTCTCGCTTCCTTCTTCAATTCTCGTGTTGTGATCGATCGTAACGTTGCGAGGTATGCAGCCTGATTTCTCTCCGCTTTGACAAGGCACTCCTTGTCGTACCAGCTGTTCTTTTGCACTTTCCGAAAACCTATGGTTTCGGTAGCAGCTGTACGTAAGGAGTTTGAAATGCCGTTCCATACAAGTATAAGAAGCTGCTTTAACAAGAAACTGAAATAAAGTAAAAGAGAAACAAGACATTTTGGAACAACCAATCAGCGCTGCATTAGATATAAATAATATTTCTATACTCTAACAGTTTGACGGCTGCTGTCATGTAATATTTTAAGATGTGCGATTCAAAAGTGGGGTTGATCCCTGCTCAGATCATCTTTATTACGTTAGCCACAGAGAATAGGATTTTGTCTGGCGCATTTTGTATTCGGTTGCATGGAAACTATAATACCCTTCTCAAACACAAAATATTCTACACAATAAATTGATTTTAATCGGTCAGGTTGTATGACAGCTATTTGCTATTGTGACTCGATCTGACCAATTTCCTCGGAGATTGCACCGTAGCCTTGGAAAATAATCCATGACAAATTTCTTGAAGATATCTCGTCAAGTAAAAAAGTTTTTTTACGTGCACTTTATTCCGATTGTTCAGTTTGCTGTATATGCTATAGTGGCCCGATATCGGCGGTTCCGATAAATAAGCAGCTTGTTGGTGAAAAACGATTATCATTACCTCCTTTAACTGTTAAATTCTTGCCATACTTTCGTGTGACGTTAACTTGATATATATAAACAGGCTTACGTAGGGCCGCGAATATCCCACTTGAACAGCTGGAGACGCCTGACCGTTGTGATGCCCAGAACTCCTAAGTATGGTTTAAAAATAGCTAACCACATCTGTATATAATATGTAGCAAACATTGTTTCTGCTTGGTTGTTATTTCCAAAGCTCCTGCAACATTTTTGAAGTTAGGTCCCCCAAGAAAAGATTTCATTTGGTTTTCATTTTGTATTTCATATTATCTTAACTCATTTATCTTTATTGCATTCTAATGATAAGCTATATATATAGTATATTTTTGGATCTTATAATCTATTTACATTGACTCACTCAAAATTAACATACGATTTACGTACATATTTTCGAATATATTTTTGATTTCAACTTTCGAAATTTTGCTTACTTTTCCTACAAACGAGCTACAGTGAGCAAAGCAAAAAGTAATTTCAAAAGAAAACATATGATACCTTCAAACTATCAATAACTAGGAATAATCGAACTGCTAATGCTATATTATGCGAATATATAAGTAGATTAAATAATGGTAATTTAATTTATTTTTGAGTAGAGCGATGCAAAACTATTAACAATTCACTCAAATCGCTTCGCCATAAACTTCTATCTTATCTGTATGTTCATGTATGGGTGTGTGTGTGTGTGGATGCATGCATGTGACTGGGGATATGAATTAGTTAATTTGATTATATAGTTTAGAATCATTGGATCACGAAATACCAGCTCCGTCATTTACATATTTATTTACATCGAAATCGCAACTTTGCACATATGTACATACAGACATAGTAACCAATATTTTAATGAAATAACGAAATCATGCTGTACAGTGAATGGTAACATTGCATATGGTGAACTAACATCTAAAGTATGTATGTATGTATATTAGAGCAATTACCGCGGAGTGGAAAACGCGTAATTTTTTATTCATTTGGATTGTTGTCTTGTGTTTGATGTATTTGACCAGAAAAGGTACACAAATTTGCTTAAATTGCTCTATTCTCCTATGGGTATATTCACAGATTTATCTTAGGTCACTACCCGCAGCTGAGTTATTAACAACATTAGTTGAATCATCTTTTAAAATTAAATTAATTGTTCGGTTGTTTGCGATTATGTCCGGGATTCTTTGCACCATACCCACTTCCGACTTATCCTGACTCATCGCCTTTCATCGCAACCGAATAAACGAAATTATTTGAGGCAAGACAAAAAGAAGAATCGTTCTCATCGGTAAAGCCAGTTAAATCTAAAATGGCGCTGTTAGGGGTAGGCTAAGTAGAGGTCTAACTAGGAGTGTATCCTTAGACTTAAAGCCTATAAGAAAAATACTTCGGCGGGTACGTAGGTTGTCTTTATAATTTGTGAGTTAGCGACAATTATAGGCATAAGTGGGAACAGCAAACATTTAATACGTAAGAGATAAACTGATAGGTTCGACACCGGATGAAGCGGGTAATGCGTTCAAAACGCATGTTTTCAAGATACTTCAATGAGAGTGGCAAAAGTTCTTCGAAAGTTGGAATCGAAACAGCATGTTGGTCTTAATGGAGAATATGTTTAAAAACATTAAAGCGTTTCGCGACGATTAAAATTTGTTTTGGTTTTTGAATCCCGAAATATAAAAGTCAATGTACGCATAAAACAAATATAATATGCAAAATTAACATATATATTTTTCAAGTCTCAAAACGCGGATAATGTCTGTGGAACTTCCATCAACACTCAGACACATGTTTCTAAACTTTTAAGTCAGCAACATATAAAAAATAATATGCGAGGAATATTCTTGAAATAATTATGTGAATGTGGTAACAACATTGCAATCCTAATTACGGACATGAAGGTTCGAAGAAAGATTTTGTTTAACCTGACAGAGAAGATGGCTTGATTTTCAAATACACTCAGAGACTACTTAAGTATATCCTTGGAAGATTCTACTTACAAATTTTGTCTTTCACAAAACTTTTGCTGAAAATGTTTCACAAAAACTTATAAATAAATCGAACTTTTCGAACCAGGTGGAGTACAAAGATAATTCGCTACAACTCAGTTAGTTTAAGAAGTGAAGTTATATATATTCCGAATAATTGCATTTGTAACAAATATCGCTATTTTCCATAGATTAAATTGATAGATAAAAATAATTTATGAAAACTTAACCGTCTAAGAATCATTCCTCTGTATATAAAACCGTTAGCCAAGTGAAACAGTCAGAGAGCATCCATGTAAATACATAAGATATAAACCAGACTATTGCATTCAGCTTTAGTGCAATGTCCTACAATGTCTAAAACATTCTAAAATCTGGAGGAATCGAACAAGAGTTTTTGAATTGAAAAATAATAGCTTTATGTATAATCTATGATGTCTGAAAGAGGCGTAAACTATTCGCTCGCCGAAAACTATAATTCATTGTGAAATTGTTGACTGGCTCTCTAAAATGCCTGATTCATTCAATGTAACACCCTTATTTGGATTCTGCAAACTTGTGTGCCTCTGTTGAGAGAGAGAGCGAGAGCGAAGATCTACTAATTGAAGTGGTGCCTAGTATTAGTGCTTGTATGGGTGCCTGCGGCTGGTGTATCATGTGATCTCCGGCGGTGCGGCATTGTGGTTGTTGAGCGGCAAATCCGGTGACGTAGAGAATGGTCGATGCAAGAGCTGGGCGCTGTGATGATGGTGCTGATATGCCGAGGTGTCCTGCAACGCCGCAACGGTACTTAAGGTGGCCGCTATGCTGTTGGCTGTCGAGTTGAGTTTTTCTGGAGAATTGACACGTATTTTTGGAGGTGTGCAATCCACCGCATAACCTGGTGGCGGATAGTTTATGGCGGCGTGCAGGTGACTGCCATTCAAGCCGTGCGCCTGCCCCGGCAATTGTGGTTGTGGTCTAATGACGATCGGTTGAATGGGGAATTGCTGAGACATTTCTTTGAGGTTACTAAAACTTTGTAAATAACAACCGGCATTGAAGAGACTGGTCGCTGTGTCCAATTTAAATGGTGGCAAGCAGGTGGATAATGGTGTTGCTGTGGCGTATGTGGATGCTGCTACCAAATTACTAGCCGCAATGGAGGTGGCCAAGTCACGCGGTTTGTCATCATCGACACTGAGACTCTCTTCGCGATCGTTAGCACCGTTCGATGTGGAGCCAGGACTATGCTGTAGCTGAATACTACTAGGAACAGGTGAATGGGTGCCCAGTGAAATATCTGAGTCCGATGTATCTGATGCTATCGGGGATGGTGCTCCATCCGGCCGGCGACTGCGGCAAATGAGTCCAGAATTATTTTGATTATGTTGTATTCTGAAATGAAATAAGACATATTGGTTGTTAACATCTTGCTCGCAAGTTTACATACATAAAAGTAGATATATACATACATATCTATATAAACTACAACTTTAAAAGAGAATTGTCGACTAAGTTCGATAATTATATTAATTTTTATGAGAAACACGTAAGCAAGCTCTAATGGAGGAAATTTACCCACAGCCCAGAGTCCAAAGCCCAAGGCCAAATACCTATGTACCAGTTTTCATCACGATATCTCAAATTTTGCTCATGTTATCGCATGCACGGGCAGAAAGGTATCGGAGCGCTGATCATTTAAATATGTATGTAAGTATGTATATACATATAACCACATCCATATCTATATCGACTAGTTTTAGGTGTACAAACAACCGTTAGGTGCAGAAACCAATTAAAACCTCTGCAACATGATGCAAGGGTATAACAAAGTCGGCCACACAGTTTCTGGAGCAGTACTTCGGACTTATAACTAAAGAATAGAAAAAAAGCGAAGCAAATTGCTTCTGATACTTCTAATTATTTAATATTTTTTAATATAAAAAGAGATTAGCAAATAAAAAAATTATTTTTTAAATGAAAAAGTGTAAGGGAAAGACATAAAGTCAATAAAAGCATTCTCTGTCTGCTCTTCATAACCAAAGTTTTCGTGGACTTAGATCCAACTATCATCGAATTCTATAGTTGTGGTGTTCTGCTTCTGTTGCGAATCAGCGGTAACTACCACGAGGGTGGCCAAAATAATTCCGTTAAACATACAATCATTTAACAAAGCAACAAACACCTGAATACTCACATTACTACAATTGGTCAAATTGTTAAATAAAGTTTTGTTTCATTTCCGTTTAGAAAATTCCCATAGACGAAATAAAAACCTTCGCCACGGGAGCCAAATTAAGCTAAAGGTGTGAGATCTCCCAATAGCAAATGCCCTTACACCATTAACACTTACATATGGTATATCGACATAGGTATTTGGTGTATATAAGTATGTTTTTGGGTATCGTTTTTATACAATTCTAATTTCCAATCTAAAGTGTTAAGAAAAGTGGATAATTTGGGCGATTTCACGGCTTTAATAACACGTAATTTAGATGAAAAGCTTTCTATGATGTCAGACTTTTATTCTCACCATGCAATCACACATTTGTAGCGTTTCAGGTTCGCACCCAGCTAATCTCCCAAAGTATGAGTATTTAGTGCACATTCCTTATCTCACACGTTGATTTCGGCGAGCTTGAGAATATTTGGTTGAGTACTTATCAAAATTTGGTGTCAAGAAAAAACTACGGTTATTAAGTGATTAAAAAGTCTGCGCCATGTTGTGCTGAAGGAATTCAACATCTTAATATTGTTCCTCCAAGCATTCGTTTGTTCGGCTTTAATTTGATTCCGTTTCGTTGTCATTTATTGAAGGTCAAAGCAAATGAGTATCTGAACCAGAGGGTAGGGATACAACTGAACTCAGAGTAAACGTACCGTGGCTTACAGAAGTATGTATGTAAGAAGTAGTGTGTAGGGAAGAGCTCAAAACACTGATTGTTGCTTTGTCGTTTGCGAGACTTTTTGTGGTGATCATATTACCAATTCGGCCTCTTCACTTCAATGAATACTATAAGAATGCTTGACATGAGCCGATTAAGATTTTCCAAGTTTTGAATTTCAGTATTTCGTTCCGAAACACAAGACGTCAGTTCAGCGTTTGGCCAGTTAGCTAGCCAGACCTGGTTTGTGCTGAGGCAGCTACACGGTTAAGCAGCGCACAAAAAAGTCAACTTGACTTCCGCCCGAGTGCCAATGGAGTTGGCCAACCAATGGCATCGTAATAATGATGTGTCGCTTAGGTAGGTGCCACTGTATCACATTTCACAAAATCCTTATGCTGATGATACCCGTATATGGGACTACTTGTATGTTTAGTCAATTGTGTGGAAAATATTGTTTTTATGCGCTGAAGTTTGCAGTCGCTCTGATAAATACTGACGGTGCACAATGTCTTAATTTTAATCAGAAGTTAGTATTAATTACGGACAAGTAACCTTGAAAGCAGCTTCTTTGTCACGTACAATGCCAAGATTACGCCGATCTCGTGCCCAAAGTGCGGCAGTTACTTAAGTTAAGCTGAGAGGACAGGTAGTCAAGACACAAGACATCAAGCAGAAAGAGTCCATTGCTAAGTACTCGCAAGCAAAATATACACTCAAAAGAGCGATATCACAAGAAATGGCCTTATTTTTAAATATCTTAAGATATAGGATGACCCTTGGGAATATGAAAAATGTATGGACACATCCCACATAAGTTTACCCTGAACTGGGTATATTAATTTTGCAAGAAGTTTGTATCCCCTGGAAGGAAACGTCGGAAACTCTATAAAAGGTATATATGCATATATAGCATGATGAGACAATTTCGCCGTGTCTGTTTTTCCGCCCATCTACATATACGCTAACGACTTTCTATGCTTTTGAGATATCTCTTCAAGGATCTATTCGGTGTAATCAATGTTAATGTTTTTTATTGTTTTTTTTTTATATACTAACAACAGTTGCTCCCCATCAAAGTATAATTAATTAGGTTTATAATGTCTCTGTTTTTTTACTTGAACTATCCCGACTTTTATCTCTGCGGCAAATATACTGTGTCCCGGTTAAATCAAACGATTACTAAACAAGCAATATATCATGTTTCTTCTGATATGCCCGCTTGATGGCTCTGGCTAAAAACATATGTATATGAATTTAAGTATGTATTGTTCAAATGCCACTTGTTAGGGTAGAACAAATGGTTTTAACAACAATATCTCACTGAGCATCACATTTCATATTATTTGGCTATTTATATGTAATTTTAATAATTAACTCAAGTGGTAAGCATATATGGGTGTTTTTTACGAATATTACGACTCAATTATACGATTATGTTTTGACCATTCAGCATATATGTAAAATGTGTGAGGCAGTATTCCTCACAGCAGGTCCTACTCCTTAGAAGTGTGATGAAAAATGTACCCTATCAACTGACAACACAACAATTAGCCCACAAGCGCCGCACACGGCACGGCAGAAAAGCGAAGGAAAAGAGGTCGTGTTGGGAATTAAACAATTTAAAACTTCATTTGCGTCAAACGTAAATCAGACGTGTGAGACATCGGCGAGTTGAAGGCGCGACGTGTCAGTAGCTGCCACATAACGATGGCAATCGAACGTCGTTTAGATATGATGCCGAATGACTTTCGTACCGCGACGACTGAATGAATGCTTCTAAGCGAGTTGAGAAGGTGAAGTTGCACAACTACTATTTATGAAACTCCACTTATGTATGTTTAGTCGTCGGATCCCCACTTACCCCCTGGACCAGGTAGATTTCGGCCAACTGTGTGAGTAATGTTATTGTCATTAATCACTCAACACGAGCAGTTACCGCCGCTAAAACGCATTCACTCACTGCTCACTGCTCGCTGACCACCTCTTATAACTCTCAACTCACCGCCCATGGCTCGCTAATGTTGCGGTGTGAAGATGAGGTAGCGGTGAAGCAAGAAAATGCGACTGCACTGATTATTAATGTTATGTTGGGTCAATGGAATGCGAAGTGGAGAATGCTTTGCAGTGTAGGAAGCTCAACCGATAATTATGACAGAGCAAGAGTCAGCATGATTTCGATGATGTATTTCCAACATTAGGACCTGTTGGACACTCACTAAACCGTTCGCCAATTGTTCACCTACCAACCTTCCAGCTTACCAACCGATCTTCCCATCCCATTAGAACAGTGCAAGTGACAACACACACATTCGTCGTTGTTTTGCTTTAGGAGTGGCGATGTGTCGGCCGATGACTGATTGGATTCGTTTTCTGAGTGAGTCTGAAACTTATTGTTCATCGTTTGGTTGCCGCTTCGTTAATAGAGTAATCTGTAGCCAATGCGCTGCAGGCTGCTGGACGATTGGTGCTTTGTGCCGAGTACTAGTCGCCAATTGATGGGTAAGTAAGTGAGTTGTCCGTGGTGGCGGCGTGTATTGATTATTAAGTGTCATGCCGTGCTCCCAGTGAGGTGGATAGTTAGGAGGTCTGATTTGCTCCAACGTGTATGTGTATGTGACTGTGTAAGTGCCACCATGGCTATTATTTTATTATGTCTTTAAAGAGTACCGACTAACGATGGGTGAAAGACGATAAACGGTCAACTCATCCCTTGCTAAGGCTTAACTGATCACAGTCATAATTGCGTTAGCCTACGTTAGCCGCTGATTACAACAAATTACAACAAGAGCAATGATGAGTATCCAAAGGTGCGTAAGATATTATTCTACAATTTATCACAGATTGTTTTGTAAATAATAAGTAAAGTAAATATTATATACTTATATCTATTTTAGTCATAAAGTTAAAGAACAAGGAAGAATAGTTCGAGCACCGGCTCAGTAAAAATTAATATATCAGATTTGCTGATGCTACTGTGCCCTGCAATATCCGTTTCAGATGAATTCAAATCATGTATCGCCGAAGACTATTATGTGATATAAGGTCGACACAAGGATCAATATTAACTGGTCGAAAAGCGGAAGCATCTAAAGGAGCTCATCATAAAGTGTCGCAGACTACTCCATGAAAGGTTGGTATTTTGTTTAGGAAATAGAAAATACTTGTAGTGACATGATAATAGATCAGACGAAAACGGAGGGTAGTTGATGAGTTTTACTCTCCATTTAATTCATGTGGAAAACACGCACAGAAACCATTATCTTACCAAAATATTACTCGTAATAATCCCAACATTCTCGTAGTAAAGTTTTCACTGATACCAATAATTTCGCGATTTTTTCCCACCACTACAGCGCGTACACTATAAGTAGCTCGGGATGATATGGTCCTTGTTAGTGATTGATTGAAATTCTCATGGCCATTTTTAAATCGTATAAATGATGTAAATACAATTATCACAATATATAATATTCGCATCAACTCGTATGTCTCGGCATTCTTTTTATT